CAGCGGCTCCGTCCTCCGCCCTCCCCCGCCGCCGGTTCCTTCACTTCTTCTCGGATCCCCGCTGGGGAGAGCAGCGGAGATCCAGAGAAGCGGCGGGAGGAGAGGACATCGCGATCTACCAGTGATCACTACACGATCGAATGGTAGATCGCGATCGACCTTGTGGTCACCCCTGACCTAGAGGGTAGAGTCCACCTTGAATCCACCTAGAGGGTAGAGTCCACCTAGAGGGTAGAGTCTACCTTGAATCCACCTAGAGGATAGAGTCCACCTAGAGGGTAGAGTCTACCTTGAATCCACCTAGAGGATAGAGTCCACCTTGAGGGCGGAGTCCACCTTGAGGGCGGAGTCCACCTTGAGGGCAGAGTCCACCTTGAGGGCAGAGTCCACCTTGAGGGCAGAGTCCACCTTGAATCCACCTTGAGGGCAAAGTCCACCTTGAGGGCAGAGTCCACCTTGAGGGCAGAGTCCACCTTGAATCCACCTTGAGGGCAGAGTCCACCTTGAGGGCAGAGTCCACCTTGAGGGCAGAGTCCACCTTGAATCCACCTTGAGGGCAGAGTCCACCTTGAGGGCAGAGTCCACCTTGAGGGCAGAGTACACCTTGAAACCACCTTGAAGGTAGAGTCCACCAAAAATAATAAATGCATATTCATAAAAGAAAAAATAATCATTGAGTATTTTTTGCATTGGACCCAGTAAAGCATTACAACTGCGATGAGTGGAAGGTGGGTGCAATGCTCTGACTCCTGCAGACTCTTCCTCTCATCCATGTTCCTACCTCAGTACAGACATTCAGTAACTTGGACGGGAGGAAGAATAAATGGACTACAAGTGCAGTGATGTCACCACACTTGAATTCCCCAGAACTTCAAGCCTCTCTGCTGCGGTGGCTGATGGGACAGTTTCTCCATGCACAGATCCTGTCAATGTGAATGATCTGTGAATGGACAACGCGGCTATGTGGGCGGAGCCAAATGAAAAAAATGTTCACCAGCCTGTGGGAAGAACCCCCGCGATTCAGCTAAGGTCGGGTGAGAGTGTGGGTTTTGCGATCTGGCCATGTTTCATGTTACACCCTGAATATAATTGGAACGTGGTCCAAAAGGTGGACTGTGCCTTTAATTCCTGATGAGTGCAGTAGAAGGAAAAATTGTTTTAATACATTGTCATTAATAATTATTATTTTGATTGGCTGCGGTCACTGAGAATCTTCGGATCGGCTCCGTCACTAAAAGTCCACTTTTATTAAATGGAGGGATGCCGACGGGGCCACACCCTCGTTGAAATCTGAGTCAGCTGATATTTGACCCGTGTGCGGCCATTTTCAGGCTACAGAATAAATTATTCCTCCATATTCTACTCTCCCGGCTCTGCGCTACCTGGAGGAACCCAATGGGGAGGAGAGCCTCGGGCAATGCTAAGCAAACTGCTGTAGCCGGGAGAGAGCTCGGAGCATTTCATACATACCTGTGTTCTCCTTCTAGGTGGCGATTAAGCAGATGAATCTGCAGCAGCAGCCGAAGAAAGAGTTAATTATCAATGAGATCCTCGTGATGAGGGAAAACAAGAACCCCAATATTGTCAACTATCTGGACAGGTGAGTCCGGGGGGTGATGGGAGGACCCCAGAGCCCTGCAAACCTGGGGTGCAGCTAACTCCGGGCTTACAGAGCTAAGCATTAAAGGAGAACTATGAGGGGCGTGCTTTTCACTCACCCCATAGTTCTAGCCGACCTGTGACAATGAGACTGTCACAGGTCGGCTCAGTAGATCGGGAGGTGAGCGAACACATACCGGCGCTCGCTCACCTCTCGATCCTGTCACGGCTCTCTGCCGTGATAGGGGGAGGGGCTGGATTCCCCCCGCTCCGATCCGCCAGCGCTGACTGGCGGAACGGACGGGGGAGGGGGCGGGTACAGCTGTCTCTGTCTCTAGATAGGCAGAGTATGGGTATCGGCACTGATACTAGTATCGGTATAGGTGGATCCCTACACTGTATATATTGCTATTTGTTATATAATAAAGAATAGTTTCTGGATGAAATGTTTTTTGGTCTTATGTGACCTCGATCCTTGCAGTTACCTGGTCGGGGACGAGTTATGGGTCGTGATGGAGTACCTGGCTGGCGGCTCTCTTACCGACGTGGTGACGGAGGCCGAGATGCAGGAAGGACAGATTGCGGCTGTGTGCAGAGAGGTGAACAAGCTGTTAAGGACGGAGGACAGATATGCGCTGTGAGCGTAAGAACACAAAGGAGCACAAAGCCAAGAGTTAAAAAAGATCACAAGAATCCTTGCCACAGACCATTCTGCTTAAGGGTATAAAAGTCCTGGTGGTGGTGGTGGGGGGAGCTTTGGGCCCCAGAAACGCGTTGGAACGCTAAATAACCATTAAAACAATTTAGACTCTTGGCGCTCCTGTTATATTCTTATGCTTCCCGGGTACCCAAGGGGGTGGGGGGCTTGGGGACCTTATGTGATGTGGGCAGTCTAGCTGGAGCCAGTGAGCTATACTTCTTACTCCTAACGAATAAGTATTTTAAGTGCCACCGCCGCTTGAATATGTTTTTATGGCAGCTGTGTGCTTATATCCCATCATGCATCTGCCTCTGGGAGTCATGCCTGTGGCTGCCGGAGTCTTCCAATGCCTCATGGGACTTGTAGTTGCGCCACAGCTGGAAGGCTGCAGTTTACGTACCCCTGCCCTAGGGTCAGCCTCCTTCTAAAGGGACATATTATAGTGGTAAGGGGGAGGAGCTGGGACCCCTATGTATACTGTATTTTGTAGTATGGGGTGACGGTTAGCAGGCAGCTCTGCTGATCCTAGGATCCTTATGGAAATGCGGAGGACAGACTTCCCACTCCACTTGTGTCCAGAATAAAATGTTATTAGTAATAAACAAGAAAAGTCAACATGTTTCAGGGGTTAAAAGGCTCCCCTTCTGTTTTTTACAGCCCTGAAGAAGGGGGGGGGGCCTTGTAACTCCCTGACATGTGTTGTCTTTTCTTGTGGATTACAAATAAAATATCACTCTGGGCTCCACATTTCCATAATGACTCTTCAAACAGGACACAGACACTTCTGATTGGAACACATTGCTTAGGCAGACCCTCCTATTCCAAAAGAGCATTCGCCCTGTGAATATCTGTAAACGTTCGCATTGTGTGACTATATGCCAAAAAGAGCATTCTGTAGGGTTTTTTTTTCTTTAGGTAGAATTATTTTTCGAATGTTTTCATGTAATATCACTTTACGGCCACTAGACGGAGCTAAAGGAGCTCAGGAAATAAGTATTTGTGGTCCACAGCGCCATCTAGTGGCCATAAATTGACATTACATGGAGAAAAAAAAACCCTGAAACTACATTCCCTTGTAAAGAAAACACTAAAGAACTTTTGTTTTGGCATGTATCAGCACAGAACGAACGTTCACAGATATCCAAAGGGTGAAAAGACAGTTATGGGTTTAGGGCTACATGGGCATTTGTAGTTCTTTGCTTGTGAGGGAATTAAGCACTTGCCGAAATCAAAGTTAAACCTCTAAAAAAAGGTTTAGCCACCTGAGTAGCCCTAGGGTTATTCAGATTGGGAAAATATAGAATATGTGTTGTGCCCCATCTGTATGTGAGACTTGCTGGTAGGGTTACAGTCCCTTAGAGGTCACAGAAATGATTGTCTGTCTCTCTCTCTCTGTTCCTGGCTGACATTCTTCTCCTGTCTGTAGTGCCTGCAGGCCCTGGAATTCCTGCACTCCAACCAAGTCATCCATCGGGATATCAAGAGCGACAACATCCTGCTAGGCATGGACGGATCAGTGAAGCTAAGTACGTATGTTGTCAGGCTTTGCTGCACTGGTCCCCAACAAGATGCCTGTGACAAAAATGTGCCATTGCCATCAACCAAAGGAGATTCTTGGGAAGTGCTCAACACCTCCATCTTCCCAGACCTCCTGACTTATTCTCATTCTCGCAGAGTATTTCCAGGCAACATGTAGAGGCACAGGACATTGACCTCACCCTCCTCACTGACCACCAATGGAAGAGGACACCTCTCATACTGACCACCAGTGTAAGAGGACACCTCTCATACTGACCACCAATGTAGGAGGACACCTCTCATACTGACCACCAATGTAGGAGAACACCTCTCATACTGACCTCCAATGTAAGAGGACAACTCTCATACTGACCCCCAATGTAAGAGGACACCTCTCATACTGACCACCAATGTAGGAGGACACCTCTCATACTGACCACCAATGTAGGAGGACACCTCTCATACTGACCACCAGTGTAAGAGGACACCTCTCATACTGACCACCAATGTATGAGGACACCTCTCATACTGACCACCAATGCAGGAGGACACCTCTCATACTGACCACCAATGTAGGAGGACACCTCTCATACTGACCACCAATGTAGGAGGACACCTCTCATACTGACCACCAATGTAAGAGGACACCTCTCATACTGACCACCAATGTAAGAGGACACCTCTCATACTGACCACCAATGTAAGAGGACACCTCTCATACTGACCACCAATGTAAGAGGACACCTCTCATACTGACCACCAATGTAAGAGGACACCTCTCATACTGACCACCAATGTAAGAGGACACCTCTCATACTGACCACCAATGTAAGAGGACACCTCTCATACTGACCACCAATGTAAGAGGACACCTCTCATACTGACCACCAATGTAAGAGGACACCTCTCATACTGACCACCAATGTAAGAGGACACCTCTCATACTGACCACCAATGTAAGAGGACACCTCTCATACTGACCACCAATGTAAGAGGACACCTCTCATACTGACCACCAATGTAGGAGGACACCTCTCATACTGACCACCAATGTAGGAGGACACCTCTCATACTGACCACCAATGTAAGAGGACACCTCTCATACTGACCACCAATGTAGGAGGACACCTCTCATACTGACCACCAATGTAGGAGGACACCTCTCATACTGACCACCAATGTAGGAGGACACCTCTCATACTGACCTCCAATGTAAGAGGACACCTCTCATACTGACCACCAATGTAAGAGGACACCTCTCATACTGACCACCAATGTAAGAGGACACCTCTCATACTGACCACCAATGTAAGAGTACACCTCTCATACTGACCACCATTGTAAGAGGACACCTCTCATACTGACTACCAATGTAAGAGGACCCCTCTCATACTGACCACCAATGTAGGAGGACATCTCTCACACTGACCACCAATGTAGGAGGACATCTCTCACACTGACCACCAATGTAGGAGGACATCTCTCACACTGACCACCAATGTAGGAGGACATCTCTCACACTGACCACCAATGTAGGAGGACATCTCTCACACTGACCACCAATGTAGGAGGACATCTCTCACACTGACCACCAATGTAGGAGGACATCTCTCACACTGACCACCAATGTAGGAGGACATCTCTCACACTGACCACCAATGTAGGAGGACATCTCTCACACTGACCACCAATGTAGGAGGACATCTCTCACACTGACCACCAATGTAGGAGGACATCTCTCACACTGACCACCAATGTAGGAGGACACCTCTCATACTGACCACCAATGTAAGAGTACACCTCTCATACTGACCACCAATGTAGGAGGACATCTCTCACACTGACCACCAATGTAGGAGGACACCTCTCATACTGACCACCATTGTAAGAGGACACCTCTCATACTGACATCCAATGTAAGAGGACACCTCTCATACTGACCTCCAATGTAAGAGGACACCTCTCATACTGACCACCGATGTAAGAGGACACCTCTCATACTGACCAGCAATGTAGGAGGACACCTCTCATACTGACCACCAATGTAGGAGGACACCTCTCATACTGACCTCCAATGTAAGAGGACACCTCTCATACTGACCACCAATGTAAGAGGACACCTCTCATACTGACCACCAATGTAGGAGGACACCTCTCATACTGACCACCAATGTAGGAGGACACATCTCATACTGACCACCAATGTAGGAGGACACCTCTCATACTGACCCCCAATGTAAGAGGACACCTCTCATACTGACCCCCAATGTAAGAGGACACCTCATACTGAGAGCCAGTTTATGGGTGACTCACTCCACCATTTCCATGTGGCAGGTGCCTGATGAATAGCCAAGTGTTGTCACACGGGGCCACAGAAGAAGCTCATAGCCTTGTGTGAACTCTTGGAGAAGACTTTTGGTAATGGGTACCGGTTGCTGAGCAGAGCGACGTAAGGGGATTACGTTCTTTGGGAAGGACGGGGGAGCTGAATCACCCTCCTTTTGCTGTACCCTGCATGGGCACAGGAAAGGGTCCAATCATAACAAGGGATGTGCCTATGGAAGGGGCATTGTAAGCATTTTATTTCATGTCATTTGTATGCATTCAACCTGTTCATGTGTCTTTTTTTTTTCCTCTCTCGTTTTTAGCTGATTTTGGCTTCTGTGCTCAGATCACCCCGGAGCAAAGTAAACGCAGTACAATGGTCGGCACGCCATACTGGATGGCCCCCGAAGTGGTCACACGCAAAGCTTATGGTCCTAAAGTGGATATCTGGTCTCTGGGCATCATGGCCATAGAGATGGTAGAAGGAGAGCCTCCGTATTTGAATGAGAATCCACTCAGGGTTAGTAGCAGCTTCTACAATCTAAATTCCAGTGTAAAGTGAACCTGTCCTTATATTTTGCCTTCCTCGGTTCCTAACTCATCAACATGCTAATGACATTTTTAAGTAAAACAGTTCTTTTTTCATTACATACCCTATATTAGACCCGGTAATGTAATCTCGGGGTCTCCATGCTTCTCTATGCCCTTGGCGATGCCCACATGTGATGCTGACTCTCCATGAATAAAATAACTGAAATCCAATGAGGGATCTATCCACAGTTGGGTTGGACCCTTGTTTCAAGCAGCGGGTGGAGCATATGTGTTGAGCCTTTTGGTTGAGTTGTGATGGCTTGTTACAAGTATCCAAGCTTCTTTCCAACATGGGCCTGATGTCCATACAGATGTCCAGGGCACTCTTGTTGCACTGCTGGGACACTGATGCCCTATCCAAGGAGCACCTTACACGACTGGTCTTCAATGGACATCGACTCTTTGGCCCTGTGCTGGACACGGTGATCAGTCAAGGGGGGTCAGAGCATCCACCTGCCCTGTCATAGAGAAAGGTCATCTGAATCTCACTTTACTCCCTCATCTGCTGTAGGTGCCCTCAGGCCTGACCCCAGCCCATAGAACCTGTACCCAGTGATCAGCTAATTCCTCCTCTGGACAAATGTCTGTTATGAATGTGCACCCTACTTTCTGTAAGTGGGGGGCTGATTATGCATTTTAGTGGGTTCTGGAGTAGTTCCCTTCTCAGATATTCAGGTGCTGAGAGTCCCTCTTTCAGCTAAAAGGGTAATCCATTGTCCCTGCCACCCGCCTCAGTTGCCTTCTTTTGTTTTCTCTGGGAGAATACTCGGGATCCTGTACTTTGTCCTGTGCATCTGAATGCTCCCCACCCTGGGAGCCTTGCTCCTCTCCTTGTGTGGTTTCGGGCCTTTGAGCTGTGCCACCCTTGGCCATGAACAGCTCCCCATGGTGCAGGATAGTCCTCAAGATCTCCCCTTGTCTGAGGAACTTCCTGACCCATGAGCCAGTTTTTACTGCTACCTGCTTGGCCAAGCACCTAGATCCCTATGGCAGTGCGGCCATACCTACTGTTTTTCAGAGCTTTTGTTCATGTATCCAGTGTAGTAACTTCTGGCATCCTCATTGTGTAAGCCCAGAAGCCCTTCTGCTAAGAGGGTCAGCTTTCTGGATGTGTAGTCAGCCACTTCCTTAAGGCCCTAACTCTTGTAAGGTCTGGCTGGGTCAGGCCTCTCCTGGTTGGTGGTCACTGGCAGATGAGGAAGTTTAGCTTATGCCAACCCTACAGAGTGCCATACCTTGTGATCTCTTAGTTGCCTTGCCCTCTAACCGAGTACATCCCTTCTGCTGCATCAAGGGAGTCTAGGGTGTTGTGAGAACCCATCCTTAGATTGGCCGTCCCTTTTCTGTCTTTTCCTGGTTCTTGTCATCTCCCCCTGCTAGGGTGGAGAGTGCGGGTTCTAAATAGACATGCGGTTCTGTCCCTGTACTCCGGCTTGAAAAAGAAGGGTCACCGTTCGAAACGCGTCGCCAGCCACAGCTCACCACAGACCTGAACATTTACGAGTGTTCTAACACTCCTTTTTCATCACGGGCACGGTGTAGGCACCCGCTCCCGGACACTGCGCTCCACCGCCCGTTCCACCATAGCTCCTGACAGCCTGTGACACACGGCTCTCGCTGACATCAGTCCACCATCCCCATCGGGATCACACCTCCGCTCCGATTGGTCAACAGTAGACTCCGTCACCCTCCCCCTGGCAGCACTTCCGTCAACAGCCGTTCACTGTGACATCCCGGCAGCTCCTCTGCCCCCCCGGCTGCCAGGCACAGCACTGGCCGTCCCTCGGCTCTCCCGTCTACATCACATCACCCTGCAGCTCCAGCCACCAGAAGCTACCATCAGGACCCCGAGGACAACAGCCACCCAGAGGATCACCCCATCATCATCCTGGCTAAACACCAACCTTGCCGTCGTCGCTGATATCATGCCTCCTCCATCCCAACGGTAGTGGCGCTTCCGTCTCTTCCAATTTTTGTTCTGGATCAGGTAGTCCCTACTGTTTTTCTGTCTCTTCAGCGGACTGGGAAATTGTCTTCTTCTCCATTCCTTGGTCATTCCACTAGCTGGAATCACCCCCATCCCTAGAACTACTACCAGATCCCTCTGAGCAAATAGTTCCCATCACATTGGGGGATCTCACCTTGCTTCTGTTTCCTGCTCTTGACCCCTCTGGACATCTAGGTGTTGCAGTGCCTTTGCCTCCAGGAAGGAGTGATAGTCTCCCATTGGCAGAACGAACAATCTAACCCCTATGCTGGACTATGCTGGCCTGTAATTTTTCTATTTGCCAGTGTCCAAATCCTCCTTTAGGCAGCAACATAACCCATCAGTCTCTGAATTTCCGTGTCCCACAATGAACTCCAAAAAATGTATATCACGGTAAGTACAAAAATCTCATTATTTCCTTTAGAAAACATGTTTGTTTCTCTCTTCTCTGAACAGGCCTTGTATCTTATTGCAACCAACGGAACTCCAGAGCTACAGAACCCAGGGAAGTTATCGGCGACGTTCCGGGATTTCCTGAACCGCTGTCTGGAGATGGACGTGGAGAAGAGGGGCTCTGCCAGGGACCTACTTCAGGTACAGTCTCTTCATCACCAGTATGGCCATCCCACAGTGCCAATTGTGATTTGTAAGGGTGGGCACACCTTCTTGGTATATTGTGAGGTTTACTAGAGGAACTGAGCTCAAGAATCTCTGCGCACACATAAGGCAGGCAGAGAGCAAAGGAATGGTCACCAGGAGGCGTGTGGTCACCTTGCAGCTGATCTTTCCCCCATTACTGACTTACCGTGCCTTGTTCTGCACTCCATCCAGTGGCGGAACAATCGCCATACCGACCCAGGCGGCCACTATGGGGCCCGGCCAGGACATCCCCTTGATGCCTTGTGGGTTGCTATGGCATCTCAGGCTGCTGGTTGTCACTGGCGGCTTTGAGGCGGAACATGCTGCTGACTAGATCACTGACAACCTGAGTCAGTGACAGCCAGCAGCTGCGGAGGATGATGATACTGGGTCCAGCGTCAGTAGTGATGGAGGAGGCGGGGCCCGGTGATGGAGGAGGTGGGGCCCAGTGATGGAGGAGGCGGGACCCACCAGCGCTCGTGGAGGAGGAGGCAGACAGCGGATCGGGGCTGACAGGTAAGAGGGTTTGAGTAGCCCACCTAAAACTGCAGAGCCCACCATAGAGAGCCTATGGTGGGCCCTGCAGGGTCATTCTCAGGTGGGCTGTTTGGTATCTCAGGGGGGCTCTGCAAGGAGCGTAACTAGAAATCACAGGGCCCCATACACAATTTTGCTATGGGGCCCTGTGATTTCTAGTTACGCCCCTGACTGCATCTGTGTGCAGGCAGCCATCTTGGTAGAGGCAGGGCTTTGCTTCCTCATGTCAGAGCCTCCATCAAGGAGAACAGTGAGAAGCACAGTGATGACATCACTACGCTGCTTCTCCATAGATACAGTGAGTGAATGTTGTCACCCTAGGACAGGAAGTGCATTACTGGCAGGATCACCAGGTGAAAATAAAGGGCAAAAAATTCTAAGGACTGGAACAGGCTGCAGCATATTGTTCTTGTGTTTCCATAGGCTTTACATGGTAATTATGTAATTTGTCTATTGGAGAATGAGCCGCCTCCGCTGTAGATTGTGCCGTATGGGTTCTGTATCGGAATGGTGGCTCCACCCATGGTACCAGGCTGCCTATTCCTCTGAATAGGCTGAAGGGAGGGACGGAGGTCAGATAGAAGACTGAAGGGAAGGACGGAGGTCAGATAGAAGACTGAAGGGAAGGACGGAGGTCAGATAGAAGACTGAAGGGAAGGACGGAGGTCAGATAGAAGACTGAAGGGAAGGACGGAGGTCAGATAGAAGACTGAAGGGAAGGACGGAGGTCTGATAGAAGACTGAAGGGAGGGACGGAGGTCAGATAGAAGACTGAAGGGAGGGACGGAGGTCAGATCTAAAACTGGAGGGAAGGACGGAGGTCAGATAGAAGACTGAAGGGAGGGACGGAGGTCAGATCTAAAACTGGAGGGAAGGACGGAGGTCAGCTGTAACACATATTGATGCAGTAATGACATGTCCTGGTCTTGGTGGAGAAAGCTTATGTTCCTGTTGGCTTTATACGTCTCCTCCACTGACCAGACTGATATTAATCTTCCTCCATTTGTCTGCAGCACCCGTTCCTGAAGGTGGCCCAACCTCTGTCCAGCCTGACGCCTGTAATAGTGGCAGCAAAGGAATTCATAAAGAAAAACCACTGAGCCATGGAGTCGCTGCTCTTGGCCTGGTTGTCTGCGATGGAACTGTATTCGGCCTCCTTTTATTGTGTCTTCAGGCCTCAGGACATCGAGGAGCCGCTCTGGAGGCACAAAACACGAGGCCTCCTCTCTGGACTCACACGGGACTGTGAACTCGGTTTTATATGTGATTAACGTTTGTTTTGTCAGCGTCTCTTTAAATGTATTTTTATGGTCTGGAGACTTGATTGCTGATCGGAGTAAATTAAACCACTTTGTTCTCCAATTCTCCAGAGGACGGCTTGTTTCTAAAACAGTCATGTGGCCCCTGTCGTCACAAAAGGGCCACACACAGTGCTTAGTATACTGAATGCTACAGAGACTGCAAAGTGATTGGGGACATGGTGTGGGAGACACTCAGAAACTGAGGAGAGGTTGCGAGAGGCGGTCGCAGGCCGGGGACAGGTTGCGAAAGGCGGTCGCAGGCCGGGGACAGGTTGCGAGAGACGGGCGCAGGCCGGGGACAGGTTGCGAGAGACGGGCGCAGGCCGGGGACAGGTTGCGAGAGACGGGCGCAGGCCGGGGACAGGTTGCGAGAGACGGGCGCAGGCCGGGGACAGGTTGCGAGAGACGGGCGCAGGCCGGGGACAGGTTGCGAGAGACGGGCGCAGGCCGGGGACAGGTTGCGAGAGACGGGCGCAGGCCGGGGACAGGTTGCGAGAGACGGGCGTGAGAGACGGGCGCAGGCCGGGGACAGATTGCGAGAGGCGGTCGCAGGCCGGGGACAGGTTGCGAGAGACAGTTGCAGGAGATGGTCACATATGCTGGGGACAGGGGGCAGGAGACTGTTGCAAGCTGGAATAGGCTGTAGGAAATAGTCCCAGGCTGGGGGACAGGCTGTAGGAAATGGGGACAGGCTGGGGGACAGGCTGTAGGAAATGGGGACAGGCTGGGGAAGGGGATGAAGCTTAGCTGAAACTTTTTAGTCAGGGACTTTACCAACCTGAGTACCTTTGTCTTGCGGCGCCATCTAGTGTTTAAACTGCTAATTTCATCATTAAAACCACAGCCGCAGCTTTCTTGGTACACTCATGTTGAGCATTTCACTTCTCCAAGCAGACAGTATGTATCTGCCTATACGCGCCTCCTCTACAGTCATTCCACATCCATTTCAGCTGTCTTGAATAGCTGACGTCAGGGCGACGTAACTCCCACACAGGAGTTCATATATCCCAGCACCAAGGCATTCCGAGAATTTACACTATGCATGCACGGCTCCTTGTACATGCAGAAAAGACTCAGCATGTCTCTCCTGCAATAAAAAGCCTTTCTGTTTGCATTGAACTCCATTGCTGCTTTAATACATTCAAAGTATTTTGTTATATTTTTCTGAACTCTTAGTGAACAGATATATGTTGATTCTGCCAGAAATCTTGTGAGCCGATGACTTCCTGTGCTGCAGTCTTACCAGTTACATTGTTCCCTGCTATCTCCTTGGGCTACAGAACACTTCCCTTCTATGGAAGGAAGGAGAGGACCTGGGGTGTTCTGTATCTATGGGGAGCGGTGTTCACCCTAGGCCAGAACTACAGAAGGGGGAGTGAGTGTGGTCACCCTAGAACAGGAAGTGTTACTGGCAGGGTCACTTAATGCAGCCACTGTTCTGGGGATTCAATTAGGGATGCACTGTTACTAGTATCGGTATTGGTGCCGATACCCAGTAGCACTTGCCCAAATGCTCCCAATGCCTGGCCCGATACTGGAACTTATTATGTCAGGAAGCCAGGTGGCAAGTCATTACAAGCTGCCCAGCTTCCTGATTGGTCAGGAAGCCATCCCCATGGTCCTTGGTGACGAGGGAGCATGGAGCTGGCTTCCCGGTTAATTAGGAAGCTGGGCAGCTTGTAATGACTCACCGCCTTTCTTCCCAATTGGTCGAGAAGCTGGCCAATCAGGAAACCAGGCGGCGAGTCATTCCCCGCTTCCTAATTGGCCAGAAAGCCGGCTCCATGCTTCGTCACCTGGTGATGAGGGACCATAGAGACGGCTTCCCTGCTAATCCGGAAGCTGGGTGGTGAGTCTTTACACACCGCCCTGTTCCTTACTTCCAGTATCGTTATTGGGGGAGTACCCAAAAATATCAGTAACTCAATACCAAAAGAACCGGTTTCGGTGCATCCCTCGTTTTCATAAACTTTAATGCACGGCTCCCCGGCAAAACAGTCATTATTGCTTTGTGACTGGCAGCGGAGCCGACCAATCACAGAATTAGAAAGGGAAAGAAGCCTGACAACTCTGCCAAGGATCAACTTTCACTTATTTTGAGACAATCAGCTGGAATGAATCATCCAAACACCCCGAGACAGAAATAAAATGAGACAAAAGATGACAGCAAATGACAATTTTTTTCTACAAAAAAAAAAAAAGTATTTTCTTTGCATCGTATAAAAATAAGAATCTTTACAATGTCATTATTTTTTTGGTCCGCCTGCCATATTTAAAGCAGACCTGTGCTTGGCCTTGCAAAGTAAAAAAAAAAAAGTTTGTTTTAATGCCGTGACTGAATGGTCTTTATGTTCAGTGGGGGAGGAGGGCATTATAGTAACCAAGTCGCTTATTTTGCATGGGAGGCGATTCATAGAAGTCTTCATTGGCTTTTCTTGTGAGCAGATGCATGATCTGTGAACATGGACGTGTACAGTCTGATCCAGGAGTATCCAACACCCAGCGCGCAGTATATGGAGGTCAGCATCAGAGGAATGAATGGTAGACGCTGCTGCCAGGGGGTTAATGGGTAAATTATCTCACATAGCAGCTCCAGCGGTAACAAACCCCAGAGGTATAATGTCTCCAACCAGCCCAGGAACCGCCCATGTTTCCTGAAACAATACCAAGAAAAAGTGATTGCAGTATTGCTCTATATACATTCTACCTGTGCTGAGTTCCCTAATCTGTACACCTGCTGTGCCCATTATGAGGGGCTCCCACCATCCCTGTGCGGAGTTCCCTAATCTGTACACCTGCTGTGCCCATTATGAGGGGCTCCCACCATCCCTGTGCGGAGTTCCCTAATCTGTACACCTGCTGTGCCCATTATGAGGGGCTCCCACCATCCCTGTGCGGAGTTCCCTAATCTGTACACCTGCTGTGCCCATTATGAGGGGCTCCCACCATCCCTGTGCGGAGTTCCCTAATCTGTACACCTGCTGTGCCCATTATGAGGGGCTCCCACCATCCCTGTGCGGAGTTCCCTAATCTGTACACCTGCTGTGCCCATTATGAGGGGCTCCCACCATCCCTGTGCGGAGTTCCCTAATCTGTACACCTGCTGTGCCCATTATGAGGGGCTCCCACCATCCCTGTGCGGAGTTCCCTAATCTGTACACCTGCTGTGCCCATTATGAGGGGCTCCCACCATCCCTGTGCGGAGTTCCCTAATCTGTACACCTGCTGTGCCCATTATGAGGGGCTCCCACCATCCCTGTGCGGAGTTCCCTAATCTGTACACCTGCTGTGCCCATTATGAGGGGCTCCCACCATCCCTGTGCGGAGTTCCCTAATCTGTACACCTGCTGTGCCCATTATGAGGGGCTCCCACCATCCCTGTGCGGAGTTCCCTAATCTGTACACCTGCTGTGCCCATTATGAGGGGCTCCCACCATCCCTGTGCGGAGTTCCCTAATCTGTACACCTGCTGTGCCCATTATGAGGGGCTCCCACCATCCCTGTGCGGAGTTCCCTAATCTGTACACCTGCTGTGCCCATTATGAGGGGCTCCCACCATCCCTGTGCGGAGTTCCCTAATCTGTACACCTGCTGTGCCCATTATGAGGGGCTCCCACCATCCCTGTGCGGAGTTCCCTAATCTGTACACCTGCTGTGCCCATTATGAGGGGCTCCCACCATCCCTGTGCGGAGTTCCCTAATCTGTACACCTGCTGTGCCCATTATGAGGGGCTCCCACCATCCCTGTGCGGAGTTCCCTAATCTGTACACCTGCTGTGCCCATTATGAGGGGCTCCCACCATCCCTGTGCGGAGTTCCCTAATCTGTACACCTGCTGTGCCCATTATGAGGGGCTCCCACCATCCCTGTGCGGAGTTCCCTAATCTGTACACCTGCTGTGCCCATTATGAGGGGCTCCCACCATCCCTGTGCGGAGTTCCCTAATCTGTACACCTGCTGTGCCCATTATGAGGGGCTCCCACCATCCCTGTGCGGAGTTCCCTAATCTGTACACCTGCTGTGCCCATTATGAGGGGCTCCCACCATCCCTGTGCGGAGTTCCCTAATCTGTACACCTGCTGTGCCCATTATGAGGGGCTCCCACCATCCCTGTGCGGAGTTCCCTAATCTGTACACCTGCTGTGCCCATTATGAGGGGCTCCCACCATCCCTGTGCGGAGTTCCCTAATCTGTACACCTGCTGTGCCCATTATGAGGGGCTCCCACCATCCCTGTGCGGAGTTCCCTAATCTGTACACCTGCTGTGCCCATTATGAGGGGCTCCCACCATCCCTGTGCGGAGTTCCCTAATCTGTACACCTGCTGTGCCCATTATGAGGGGCTCCCACCATCCCTGTGCGGAGTTCCCTAATCTGTACACCTGCTGTGCCCATTATGAGGGGCTCCCACCATCCCTGTGCGGAGTTCCCTAATCTGTACACCTGCTGTGCCCATTATGAGGGGCTCCCACCATCCCTGTGCGGAGTTCCCTAATCTGTACACCTGCTGTGCCCATTATGAGGGGCTCCCACCATCCCTGTGCGGAGTTCCCTAATCTGTACACCTGCTGTGCCCATTATGAGGGGCTCCCACCATCCCTGTGCGGAGTTCCCTAATCTGTACACCTGCTGTGCCCATTATGAGGGGCTCCCACCATCCCTGTGCGGAGTTCCCTAATCTGTACACCTGCTGTGCCCATTATGAGGGGCTCCCACCATCCCTGTGCGGAGTTCCCTAATCTGTACACCTGCTGTGCCCATTATGAGGGGCTCCCACCATCCCTGTGCTGAGTTCCCGGGTCTGTACACCTGCTGTGGCCATTATGAGGAGCTCCCACCATTCCTGTGCTGAGTACCCAGGTCTGTACTCCTGCTGTGCTCATTATGAGGGGCTCCCACCATCCCTGCTGGATTTTTTTAGATCATGGAGAATCTAACAGGAGGAGCTGAGACACACAAGAATAGACCGGAACACCCAAAAGGTTTGAGTGTGCCATTTGTGCCAAAAGATCATCTTAAAACCATTATACAGTTTATAGCGTAACTAAAGCCACAGGACCTGGTTATCATCTAAATACATGACCCTCATCTCTCATATCCCCCAATACATGAGCCGAACTCCCATATCCCCCAATACATGACCCTCATCTCTCACATCCCCAATACATGACCCTCATCTCTCATATCCCCAATACATGACCCTCATCTCTCATATCCCCCAATACATGAGCCCATCTCTCACATCCCCCAATACATGACCCTCATCTCTCATATCCCCCCAATACATGAGCCCATCTCTCATATCCCCCAATACATGAGCCCATCTCTCATATCCCCCAATACATGACCCTCATCTCTCATATCCCCAATACATGAGCCCATCTCCCATATCCCCCAATAAATGAGCCCATCTCTCACATCCCCCAATACATGACCCTCATCTCTCACATCCCCCAATACATGACCCTCATCTCTCATATCCCCAATACATGAGCCCATCTCTCATATCCCCAATACATGACCCTCATCTCTCATATCCCCAATACATGAGCCCATCTCTCATATCCCCAATACATGACCCTCATCTCTCATATCCCCAATACATGACCCTCATCTCTCATATCCCCCAATACATGAGCCCATCTCTCACATCCCCCAATACATGACCCTCATCTCTCATATCCCCAATACATGACCCTCATCTCTCATATCCCCAATACATGAGCCCATCTCTCACATCCCCCAATACATGACCCTCATCTGTCATATCCCCAATACATGAGCCCATCTCTCATATCCCCAATACATGACCCTCATCTCTCATATCCCCCAATACATGACCCTCATCTCCCCCAAAAAATGACCCTCATCTCTCATATCCCCCAATACATGAGCCCATCTCTCACATCCCCCAATACATGACCCTCATCTCTCATATCCCCAATACATGAGCCCATCTCCCATATCCCCCAATACATGAGCCCATCTCTCATATCCCCCAATACATGACCCTCATCTCTCACATCCCCAATACATGACCCTCATCTCTCACATCCCCAATACATGACCCTCATCTCTCATATCCCCAATACATGAGCCCATCTCTCATATCCCCAATACATGAGCCCATCTCTCAAATCCCCAATACATGAGCCCATCTCTCACATCCCCCAATACATGACCCTCATCTGTCATATCCCCAATACATGAGCCCATCTCTCATATCCCCAATACATGACCCTCATCTCTCATATCCCCCAAAAAATGACCCTCATCTCTCATATCCCCCAATACATGACCCTCAT